ACCTATGAGAACCAGATTGTGGGTGTGCATCTGGCCAAGGTGAAAAAAATAGGCCAACGTCATCCAACTGTCATATCATTCTTTTAGATTACTTTTCGCTATAAAATACTACAAATTAGATTCCTTTGCCCGATAAAAATTTTTCTTCCATAAAAACCTTTATATGGGAGGGTGTCCAAAAAATGGATCAACTTTATCCAAAAGGCATGTCATTATTTTAGACTACTTTTTGCTAGAAAATATTAAAAATTAGATCATGCTGTCAAATACAGTCTTATCTTATGTAGGAACGTTTAAATGAGAAGGGCTTTTAAAAAAAATGATCTCATCTCGTTCAATTTTTTTTTAGAAAATAAATAGACATCGCCCTTAGGCCCAAAACATGTCGTTGTTTATAAGTTTTCTTAAAATATTTCGCAGATTGCGGTCTATAAGTTCAATACAAAAATACTTGTATAGATATTAGATTGTCTAACGGATAGGTCACGGGCTGTGAATCAATTCAGAAAATGATTGTGAATGATTTGCTGTAATAAGTTCATATGAAATCATTCTCGATATATATATATATATATATGGGCATAGACTTTAAAAAAGATTCGTTAACACATTTAGTTTAGAGCAGAGAAATGCAAATGATTGGTAATAAAATTCAGTTCAAATCAAATATAATTTCTTTGTTTTTTATTTGATTTTATTTTTATTATTGGCTTAAAAGATTTTTTTATTATTTATTTATTTAATAAATCTTAAGCAATCACAAATTGCATAAATTTTTTGTGATAATTTATGTTACCTATTCAAAATATGATAACATACACACGCACACACGCACACACGCACACACGCACACACACACAAATATTTATACTGACATATCGCAAGCCAGCGTAATGTATCGAACAATCGAACAAATGATAATAATGATAAGAAGATGATAATGTAATTTGTTCTTCTCTCAACTCATTTATTCAGCAAATTTTTATATTTAGTTTCTGTGCTTTGTTTTTAATATATATATATATATATATATATATATATATATATATGTGTTGTTTTTTTTGATTCAGAAAAATGTGTGAATTAACCTTGTTACACAAACTGAGTCAACTTGGGCATGCGCTCCGCTCGATAGGAAGAGACTAGAAAAGTGCGGCTTTTATTCCCTTTTTTCTCGTTTTGCTTTTAAATCTCAGCTTTTAAAACAAAGCTACGATAGGTATAAATTAAATGAGAGTACAAACTAAGTGAACAACAGTAATAGTCGGTTTAAACTGACAGACTCTCACTTAATCGACTTATGTGAACACTTATAAAAAAAAAAAATAAAAAAAAATGATAAGAAAATATATATATATAGGAAATCGTTTCGTACCAGTTGCCAGTATTGGTAATAGCTGATGAAAGTGAAAAGTTTCCGGACGTGCCACCAAATGCCATTAGCAAGTTCACGGAAATTTTTGTTTTCATTATTTACCCTATGTAGAGATGCAGGGTAAACTGTCTTGTTATTTTGATCGTATTTTTCGTTCACCGTTGACACTATATTCCATTTTTAAACGTCAAACATCAATTTGCATAAGCAGTATGATGGCCCGCAGGATTTTTATAAAGGAAACAAAATTTCCAAATTTCCATTGACTTGTCATTCTCATCAGTTTGAATTTAAAAGTGAGCACAAGAACCCTGCCCTTAGATTCAACGAATTTTCAAAATAGGGAAGTGATCGTGAAAGCGATCCCATCCGAACCATTTGTCTGTACATTAAATTTCATTAACGTATCTTAAAAATTGCAGCCTTTAGGTTGAAAACAACAAAAAAAAGATAGACTGATGGACAGTCGGACAGACAATCTTAGAACGTAATTCCAAGTCAATCGGTAAAATAAAGTATTTCTCCTTCTTCTTGTAGCACATATATCCGCACAAGTTTAATATACTCGTATACGATCAGTCATGTAGGGTTCGCTATTTACTAAAAATGTTTTGCTGGCATTCACGTTCATTCGAATTCAAAAATTAATGAAAAAAAAGTCTGTCCATACGTTCGACGATAATTCTTAAAAACAAATAAATAATTGTTTCCTTTTTACTTTGTTGTCATTCTGATTAGTTTGATATATCGTACAAGTGGATATGCGCTTTATCTTCCAATCAAATACCGTACGTTAGCAAGGATCAACGAAGAATTCTGACACGAGAGTTTTAACTATTCTCATAAACTTGAATTATTTTCCAGAAATATTTGTATATATTCTGGGGGACTCTAAGGCTGGATTGGTATACAACATAAGGCATTGCAGCCGGATAGTACGGAAGGTTATTTCTTGAGAGCAAGACTCCACGAGATGCATCTTTATTTAGAAATTCAATATAAACGTATCATTAGAATAAATATTTTATTGAATTATTAACGACCTTCAGTACATATATATATTTTTTAAAATAACATTTTTTAGCGTTTTAAGTGAAAATTTATTTAAACGTGATTTCAACTGAATTGTTAAAAAACTATAAAATAAACTGAGAGAAATTATCTTCGGTTAGGGACGATTTATGGTATTATAATATTTGAAAGAAAAAGTTCGTGGCGTTTTTTTTGTTTACCCAAAAAACTCAAATGCATATTTTTTATAATCTAAATGAATATCCATAGAGACTGGCAATAGAACAAGGGACAAGGTCCAGACTATACATTGTATGCATCAAAACTTTTTTGGCTAATTTTTTGTCAACTTGTGAAAGATATATGTTGTCTACGATTGCCGTGATTGAAGATAACTCTTCTTCCGTTGATCAATCCCTTAAGCTTCACTTCAATTGCATCCCTTAGAAGTTTTCATCCATCTTAGACCATAAACATTTTCCTAAAGTAATGTCGTATATGATCCGTTAGTTATCATCCATTGTAAATCCTTTTAGAAAAGCTAGCTCGACTGTATTGCATTTTCATAGCGATTTGGAAGAAATTCGATTCCTTAAACTCGTCTCTGTCAGCTCAAGTGGTGCCCAATGTTTAATTGCCCCGGGGGGTTGTCACAAGATGAACGATGCTAGTCTTTCTCAAGTTTTATCGACTTGTCGAGCAGAGAGCGGCGCATTCCTAACAGCAACATTTTTAGATTGGGAACGCAGAAATCATTCATGCTGCTATTCATGATCTTGACGCCGCATAGGTACTCAACGCTTAATTTCTTACTGAACGTTAGTTTTCTATTTATAAGATTGTTCTTTGCTAATTATCAGTGGATTTATGGACTGATTTCATTGATGCTAATGAGTAGAAGATTTTTATAACATTGAAAATTGTTTGTCAGGCATAGCTACATGAATTCCGTTATTTACGTTTACGATATTTGCGCTTTTCGAAAACTCATTAACTTTTTAAAAGTTAATTGTACCGCTTGTAGTAAGCGTAACAAATATTCGGTATATAGTTAGCAGAAGTAAGCAAAGAATCTGTAAAATTCCTTTAGTAAAACACTCTATATGGTAGTTCGTTTTGATTAGTGCTGCTTGGAATACTTACTACCTTTGGGTTATTACGTTTTTTTTTTCATTTTTCTTATAATTAATTACACATTTTTATCGAGGCAAGCAAGTGATGATCACGATGTACGGCGCTGGACATGAATATAATGAATTAATAAAACGTTGCAAAAATTGCAAAAGAATTTTCATGACTTTAAAAGCATTATGGCCTATACCGCTTATTGTACAAAGGTATATTAAGTTTATGTGCATGTATACTACACTCAGAAGTACTGGCGATAGATGAATATTTTCCATTGATCGATTTAGAAAGTGACTTTAAGCCAGAGAGAATTCTGTTCGTCTTACTGTATTGATTAATAGTGTTTAACCTTAAAGGCCAGGACCTAATAATTTTTGAGATATTGCAATAAAATTTAGTACACTAGCGTATTTCGGTCCATGGACAAACACTTTTGGAAACGATTCGGATCGTATCATATTATCAATCACTTACCTCATGTGACGTCTTATTTTCAAAAGTCATTATATGAATAACTGCAGGGGAATGTAGAGGTTTTAATGGTAGACCCTGGCCCTACTAGAGTGTGCGATTTTATCTTTTTTTTTTTTTATACCCACCACTGTAAGATGTTTGTTTTTCTTCATAAGACATATAACACCCAACATGCAGCAGTTCAGAGATCCCTGAAAGTATCTATATATCCGTGGTCTTGGTCGCGAAATTCTGAGTTGATTCAAGCATATCTGTCCGTCCGTGTAACTATGTAGTGTGCGTTGTTGGCACTCTAGTGGTCACAAAAATGAAGATAACATCTTTGGTAGATTTGGTAGAAACATTAAAAGTGTCTACACGGCTAGGTTGGTATTGAAAATGGGCCAAAATGGTGAGACCAGAAACACGCAGTGGAGCGTAAACTGAACATAGCTTAGGTTTAGGCTAAGAAAAATTTTTGGATTTTTACTCGTTATTCGGGAATTATTAAAGTTCGAATGTTGAAATTTTCCCCACATTTCTCCAGATCCAAAAAAAAACGGAACCAATCGGCCGTGTTTACGCAAAGTTACGAGTAATTAAATTAAATTGTTTTCACTTTTTTGAAAGTCAATGCTTAGGCAAATAAAACAAAAGTGTTTGCAACTATTTTGTGCACTCCTCAAATGATGATATATTACTATCTTAAAATGAATGAATGGTAGACACTGCGACCATTTGTTTCTTGGTATGAAATAAAAGAACTTGAAACGTAGAATGCGGAAAGCATAGTGATGGGTATGCGAGATTCGGACTCCGCCGAATATAATTTTCTTACCTGCTTTAGTATAGTCTAGTGGCAGTAGTAGATTAGTTTAGATTTTAAAATCAAAGTAAAGTTTTGACGCTTTTTTTTTTTTTTGGAATAAATCTACAAATAAATATTTTTGTTTATTATCATCATGAGATGTATGCTATTTATATGTGCATGGCTGTATATTAGTTTTATATATCTACTATGTTGTCCTATTAGTGAATATGAAATCTCCCACTGGATCAAAAAAAAAAACATTATTAAATGTAACGAATTAAATGTAAGAAAGCAAAAAATAAAAACCAAAAAAAAAAAAAAACAAAAAAAAAAAACGCGTCATTATCCGCAAATATTCGTTTTAACAATTGCAACAGCAACGGTAAAGGCAAATAAAATGATGTCCCCGAAGCGTTGGATATTATTACTAATCTTTTATATATCGTATTTAATGTTTGGTGCCAGCATTTATTATCATATCGAGCATGGCTTGGAGAAGCAACAACGCGCTGTTGAGCTAAAGGAAAGAATTGATATTCACGGTAAGTGCGTGAAAAATTATGCAAATGAAAGATTTATTTAATAACCACTTAAAAGCAGTTAATAATTTTACACCTTTTTATTTACTTCAGCTGTCAATGAAAATTAAAGCATAGTAATAATAATCAATCATAGCCTGAGAGTAAATCAATCAAATTAACAGATATAAAATGCATTCATTGCATTCGTGCCCATCCAAACCTAACCATGTAAGTAGGGAATATAGTTAGCTATGCTATGCTTTTACTCGAATGTGCTAACTGGGCGAGGGGGGGGGGGGGGGGGGG